AAGAAAGTATGAAAAAAAGTAGTAGATTAAATTCCACATCTAACAGTAAATTTCATGTAAATGCTTTTTGTAAAATGCTCTTGCGCCCTCTTGCAAAGTAACAAATGCTGTGTAGCACTCTCACTGAAGTTCGTTTTGACACATTTTTCATAAAATTGACCCGTCACAACATTCCGAAAACTGTGATTAAAATGTTGTGAAAGTTATGAATTGTTGGTAATCAAGAAGCTACAGGCAACAGTCATGAAGTATAACTTTGAGATAGGATCTTAGACTGTTCAACCATATTTAAAAAAAAAAAAACTTAAATTTCGAAAATTTTGAAACAGTTAACGCAGCGGAAACTGTGATAGTCACCTTACGGTTAAATTTAGAGATATCTACAGACCTATTCATATCCCCCTATTCCCCGCGGTTCCATTCAGGGTGGATCTACAGCAGTGAAACGCAGTGCAGTATCCAAAAATAGCCTCATAAGCCAAAATCTCTTATTGAAGTTTAACGAGCTTGCTCAACCAAAAAATGTACTTTAAACATTCATGAGCTTTTCGTAAGAAGTACCTGGCACTTTGGATCTCTATAGTCCGGGAGAAAAATGCTGAGATTTTCAAATCAAGAAGCTGGAAATGTTGGCTATTTAGAAGCGACGCTAGGAAAGGATCATCGCATGTTTAGAGGGCTTTATAGGCGAAAACAAGAAAGTTCTACGGAAACCTATGCTTCGAACTTTAAGATTACATCACTTGTCAAGATTTCAAATTGAATTTATCTCATCCATGAGCGACCACAACGAGCTGCAAGGCCCTGCACTTCAAACGAAGCTTAGGTAGTCGCAATTTGTTACCGAGAAATCCACCATCTCCATGTTAAAGGCGTATGGAAGCGTAACGATGAACGACAATGACCAGAGGATTAGCGTTGCAAAGACAGCTCCTCGTCGGCTTAATGGTTTTTTATGCGGCTTCACAACCTTGAAAACATTGTAATGATTGTAGAAAACATTGACTACGAATGATATTTAAGAGCAAACTATTATTTATAGAAACCTAAACTTACAAGTATGTACCTATCCACAGCGATTGCTCCTAGACTGAACGTACAAATAAATATGCTCACACCTAAACTGGTACATTGTTAATAAATGTAAGAAGGCACCAAAATGATTGCCTTAGGTAGTAAATACCTTGTTAGGATTTATTTTGAAACATCTACATAATCAATTTTCTATTCATCCTGTCAAAATAAAATTCCTTAAAGGATATAGAGAACTTCTAGCAAGCTACTTTTTCCACTACTGA